AAAACTTTAGAGAAATTTGATATGACCCTGTACGATCTATATCAGTAAATGTGATTCCGAGTTTAAATCTTGTATAGGAGAAGGTTCTAGAGTAATTGCTCAGATTAAGGAGTTTGAGTCAAAATGTAAAGCGACACATTTCTTCCTTCATCAAGAAAATCTTACTATGAAAAAAAGTCAGCCAAACTAAATAATGTGCTTAGTGACATAGTAAAAATTATGAATTACATAAAAGCTAATGCATTCCATTTGAGAGTATTCTCTTTATGTGATAATATGGAAGCTGATCACAAACAACTGCAATTGTATACCAGGTACAGTGGTTATCTAGGAGAAAAGTTCTGTAGAGAATGTTTGGACGTTGAATAAATTCAGAGTTACTGATAAATAAGAAACCAGTTTGGGCTCAACTTTTTTTTTTTTTTTTTTTTTTTTTGTGGTACGCAGGCCTCTCACTGTTGTGGCCCCTCCCGTTGCGGAGCACAGGCTCCGGACGCACAGGCTCAGCGGCCATGGCTCATGGGCCCAGCTGCTCCGCGGCATGTGGGATCCTCCCGGACCGGGACACGAACCCATGTCCCCTGCATTGGCAGACGGACTCTCAACCACTGCGCCATCAGGGAAGCCCTGGGCTCAACTTTTTAAAGATATGTATTAGACAGCCAGACTCGCCTATTTTTCTGAAATCTTTATGTTAATAATCTTAATATTTCCAAACAAGGAAGAAATGTAACATGTTTTCCAGTAGCAGATGACTGAAAAGTCAAAATAAACATTAGAAGCATGGAAGAACAGTTTTCACAGATTGTTATGTCATGTTTCATAGTTTAACAACAATTATCCATGCAGCAGGTAATGATTTTGATATTGCACATCTGCACAAACTGATTACCAAACACCTGACAGAATTGATAGAATGTTTAAAATTTTTATACTCCATCAAAAGAAGATCCATGCATAGGAAATTCATGGAACCATAAACTCATTCATTGAAACGTAATTTAAATTTAATATAACTTTACAGGATAAATTGTTGGAACTGGCCACTGATGCAGCATTGACAGTGAATTTTGAAAATACTACATCACTTGCTTTGTTTTTAAAAAACATTAAAAATGAATATCTTCAGCTGGTGAAATTGCTTTAAAATCTCTTCCTCTATTCCTATCAGCATACCTCTTGAAACTGGCTTTCTCTATTATGATGCTATTAAAACAAACATAGAAACAGTCTGGATATACATTATATGCTGCAAATAGTGTTATCATCAATTGAACCTGGACTGGATAAAGTAACGAGCAAGAAGCAAGTTGATCACAATAAAAATTTTTAAATGGATATACATGATGTCCATAAAATGTACATATATAGGACATTGAATATAGAGATTTACTATATCCTTCATAAATGTTTTGTTTAATATAATTGTAGAATATAGTAATAGTAATCTCTGTACTAATCATCTATACATATACTTTCAATAAACAATGTAAATAGTTTTGGTAACTCTTTTCTCTTTTTATTCTGTGTTATGTTTGTTCTGTTTATATTTACATAAAGACAGACATATAGGTCACTGAGACAGAATAGAAAGCCCAGAAACAACCCACACACATACAGTCAAATGATCTTTGACAAGGGCGCCAAGATTACACAATGGGGAAGAGACAGTCTTTTCAACAAACGGTGTTAGGAAAACTGGATATCCACATGCAAAAGAATAAAACTGGACCCTATCTTAAACCATACATACACACACATATGAAACCCTCAAAATAGATTAAAGACCTGAAACTATAAAATTTCTAGAAGGAAACATAGAGGGAAAGCTTCATGACATTGGTCTTGGCAATGATTTCTTGGATATGACATCAAAAGCTCGGGCAAAAATAGTAAAAATAGACAAGTTCTGTTTATATTTATTAAAACGTAATTAAAAAATTTTTATGTTCATCTCATTATATCTGTTGAACTACTTATTTTTAAAATAAGCTTATGGGCTTCCCTGGTGGCGCAGTGGTTGGGAGTCCACCTGCCTATGCAGGGGACCGGGCTCGTGCCCCGGTCTGGGAGGATCCCACGTGCCGCGGAGCAGCTAGGCCCGTGAGCCATGGCCGCTGAGCCTGCGCGTCTGGAGCCTGTGCTCCGCAACGGGGGAGGCCACAACACTGAGAGGCCCGCGTACCACAAAAATAAATAAATAAATAAGCTTATGATTTCAATGTCTTTTTGTTCATTTTTAATACAATCATTTTCATCGAAATTTTACAAAATCATTAGTGTATGATGATTTGGTAACTTAAGTTGGTCCTTCCTCACAGATAGTTTGAAACCTTTTTTAGAGCATCTATACAGAATCTGGGAGTAAAGATAGTGCCTTATGCTGCATTTTTCCTCAGCTTAAGTTTTAGGAGTGACCTTTGATTCTGAACATCTGTTGGTGTTTCCCTAGGATAATGGGGAAAACCAACATGGAGGAATTCTGAGGAAAAAAATGTGGTTTTACAAGGACCTACTGTATAGCACAGGGAACTCTGCTCAATATTATGTAACAACCTAAATGGGGAAAGAATTTGAAAAAGAATAGATATTTGTATATGTATAATTGAATCACTTTGCTGTACACCTGAAACTAACACAACATAACTCCAACATGATTGGAGTAATCAACCATACTCCAATATAAAATTAAAAGTTCTAAAAAAATAAAGGGATAAAATAACACAACATAACTCCAAAATGATTGGAGTAATCAACCATACTCCAATATAAAATTAAAAGTTTTAAAAAAATAAAGGGATAAAATAACACAACATAACTCCAACATGATTGGAGTAATCAACCATATCCAATATAAAATAAAAAGTTTAAAAAAAATAAAGGGATAAAATAAACTGTTGGGACACACACACGCGCACACACACACACACACACACACACACACACACACACACACACACAC